GCTCCAACAGGTCCATGTCTCTCCTGTGCCGAGGGCTCCAGAGCTGGACGCAGCCCTGCAGGGGGATCCACCCACAGCGAGGCAGAGGGGCAGAATCCCCTCCCTCGCCCTGCTGGCCACGCGGCTTTGGGGGCAGCCCAGGACACAGTTGGCTTCTGGGCTGCGAGCGCACATTGCCGGCTCATGTCCCATTTTTTACCCACGTGTTGCCCCAAGTACTTCTCCACCAGGCTGTGTTCAGTCCATCCATCCCCCAGTCTGTGCTGGTACTGGCGATTGCCCTGACCTGTGAACTTGCCTTGTTGAATTTGATGAGGTTCCTGGCCGGGCTCTGGGGGTACAAGCATCCTGCAGATGCCTCATATTTCTCCTGATCCATAATCTCTGCTCCCTAAAACCTGTCTAAGGATAGCAGAGAGGTGGCATTTGTCCTGAGGCTGCCTGGTTAGCTCCGTTCAGCTGAAATGCTTCCATGCTGCTGTACTTGGAGTGAAAGTTCTGCTCCTGCTGATCTGTCGCTGTCATCATGGATCAAAGGGGTGCCGGTGTCCCTGGGGACCCCTCAATGGGGAAGGCATGCCCCAGAGCTGGCAAAGCCAAGCTGTCGCACTGCATGAGTGATGTGACAAGTGAGGAAGTGTGACCAAAGTGTAGGAAACTGCCAAGAGCGATGTGGCTATGGATTTTGAGATGTAAAGCAAGCAAACTCACTGCAAACACAATTACCCTTCTCCAACAAGCTGTTATTGCAGCCTCAGTCATAGATAACTGAATGTAAGAGGTCGTTGTGTAGATGCAAAGATGCTTTGATGCGAAGAAACTAAAATTAAGCAGCTTGCAATGTCCTTGTGTCAGTGAGCTAGAGATTTTGAACAGTAGGTGAGGCGTGGGCCGGGACAGCATCGAGGGAAAGGGCTCTTAACAGACTGGGAGGTGAGTTGTGTACACATGAATGGCTGAAAAAGGTGAGGGATCAGCCAGGGGAGTAATCTGGTTCTCAGAGTGACTTTCTGAATAACCCAGGGCAAATCGCGAGCTCTGCTCGCTTACCCAGCTGCGTCCTGGTCCGTCATTTTTCAGATTTTAGCAGAGTACCCTGGCAGCGCTCATGTCGTTCTTGTGCCTGAGGTGCTGAACAAGCGCTCCAGGACTTCGCCATGCTGGAGTTTGCACAGGCCAGAAAGTTAAAGCCTTTGTTTGCCCAAAGCCGCATGGTCTCTCCTGCCTGAAATTCAGCATCTCGCAGCAACTGCCTCGCTTGCCTCCTGCCTACTCGATCTGAGAAGCATCCCCTCATTTTTAAAATCATTTTGTAACATTGGGATGTTCTGTCAAGCAGGCGCTGCGCTCTGTACCGGGCGGCTGGCGCACTGACGCTTTCTGAAGGGCCCATCAGAACCCACCTTGTGCTACAGATTTGGTTTAGTTTTATAGAAATTGGGAGAGCTTTCAGGCTGGAGTTGCCTTGTAGTGCTGCAGGGCAGCAGCAGGGCACAGCTGGGGAAGCTTGGACTGGAAATAAAGAGGTGCCAGGCATTCCCTGACAGATGCTGAAGGAGATGAAAGCTGGAAGACCGATTGCTGGTGGAAAACCACAAGCTCAACCTCGCGTGCCAGTGGAAAAGCAGCTGGTGGTGGCCAGGCAGAGAAGGTCAGCAGGCAGAGGGTGGGACTGCGCAAGTCCTGGTGCTCCCAGCACGGTGGGATTCGTGCCCAGCCTCCTTTCAGAGACACTGGAGAGAAACTGAAACTTCTAGGATGAGTTTCATCTGACCTGAGGTGCTGAGGCAAGTTGTGAGACCCCCAAGTTTCTGCCCCTGAATTATCGGTCTTTCCTGCTGCTGTTTGTTTTACCAGCCACACCACAAGGAAGCTGAAGTGCCCCCAGAAAAAGGTAAAGTCTAGTTAAATATTTCACCCAGCTGGTAGCAAATCTATGTAACTTCCTTCTCCGAGACAGAGGGAGTTCACACTTACATGGCCGCTCTATAAGCGACGTGCGGTTACCTCTCGAGGCTCATCCATGCTGCTGGGATCGGTGCGTGGCTTCAGTTTGTGGTACAGGCATTGAGGTTCCTCTTCCTCACCAGGGCGCTGGGTCGCTCCAGTCTGTATCTGACCAGGCAGGAGGAGCAGAGGTCTCGCATTGTGGGGGACAGCTGGATGTCCTCGGACCGAGGAGGACTCTCATGTCTTCTCAACGCTGTGCAGCTCTTTCTGTAGAGAGAGAGCGTTGCCTGGTGTTTGTTGTGACTGGCAACTGAATACTCTCGTGCTGTCTCTGATCAACACCTTTCCCTTATTCTTCTCTCTGCTTGCCCAGATTTCTCAGGTGTGGAATAACACCTTGGTGAACCTCCTGAAGAGCCTCTACGCCCTGGGGATGGACAGCAACAGGAGAGAGATGCGGTCGGTGGAGCAGGAGGTGCTGTGGCGGCTGCGGCGCCTCACTTTCAGGCAGCTCGCCTCCCTGGCAGAGTTCTTGGCAATGAAGCAGGGGAAGGAGAGCCAGCTGCTGAACGAAGTCATCAAGAAACTGGAGCTGCGTTGGACGGAGCTTGAGGGCACCCGAACCGTGGTGATGCTGATGGGCAAGGTCGGGCACGTCTCCCCGGCTCTGATGGACCGGCTGGAGGACAAGGTAGGGGCTTGGGCTCTCCACCTCCGTTCCCTTCGGACAGGCTGCCTCCCGCAGGTGACGGCCGCGGGAGAGCCCCGTCCCCCTCAACCCATCCGGTACGTCAACGCTAATCCCACACAGGCTGCGCTCGTTGCAGCTCCAGAGTACTTTGGTGTGCGCTTAGGAGTTGCTGTTAAAGCAGCTTCCCGTGCACGGGTGCTTCTAAAGAGGGGTTTCCAAGGAGCTGCGTAGATGGCTTGCACTTGCCAGCCCCTTCCCAGTCCATATTGGTGTGAGTGGGTGACTCGCACTGGTCTGCACTGCAGGAAGATGGGGTGAGCTGATGCATTTTGCTTCACAGCTGTGGCAGGTTTGCAGAGAACAAGCTCAAATTTCCTTAACTCAGCTGGCAAGTGGTAACTTACAGAGCCAGCATAACACAGCTGCCAAAAGCTTCCATCCTTTGCTTCCTGGTACGAGCCAGGCTGTGAGGGGAGTGAGGACAAGGACTGCCCGTACTGTCCTCGCCTTCTGGCTGCCTCCAGGCACCCGTCCTCTTCAAAGGTCTGTCCCCTCCTGTGCTCAGTGGGCCCGTTTCTCTTGCTCGCAGGAGCAGGGAAATGTCCTTTGGGTTGGAACCACTACAGGAACCCCGACTGCAGCTGCGTCAAATTCAGTCCTCGTCCAGCCCGTGCTGGGGACTGGCCAAACAGCTGCCACAGCAACAGCTGTAGCTCATGAGCCCCACTGTCCCTCTCCCTCGACCCTGGGGATAAATAAATGCTACAGACACTGGTGTGATGAGTCAGAATGCTGTAACGGGCTGATGAGGTGGTCAGCTTGTGCAGAGCCCAAACTAATGACATTGGCTTAGTGTCCTGCAAACGAAGCAGAAATTACAGTGGAAAGCAGGGTGCTGATCCGGCAGCGGGTGCCTTTCCTCCGTCAGTCTTTGCCCGACAGCACGTTACGGTGCCTGGACACACCAGAGGAATGGACACAGAGGTCCTGCTGGCTGCGGGAGGCAGAACCAGCAGTGGGGAGATCCTGGCTGAGTGGACGAGGGTCTGCTTTCCTCACCCTCTCTCCACGTGAGCTGTTACGCTCGCTGCCAGCCGCTTAGCCTCGCTGCCTTCTAAACGCTCACCAGTTCCAGGCCCCATCACCCTTGGAGAGGCTCAGCTGGTAGCAATGGCGCATCCCGCTCCGAATAAAGCCTGCATCTGCACCTTGCTTTGTGCTTTCCCTTTACATCCCTGTGTAAACCATTTCTTGGCAGGCTCTGGAACTTGCTGAACAGTTCAACCCCGATGACATCCGGAAAATAATGCTGGCTCTGGCTTACCAGAACCGGCGCTGCGTGCCTCTGCTCCGAGCCTTGTCCTACCACCTGGTTCAGAAGCACGCTGACCTCAGCCTCAACGTCCTGACAGACCTGATTTTCGCCTATGGTAAGCAGCTCACTTGTATTGGGACCTGCTGGATGTTCCGTGTGGTAGAGCCCAGTTGATTTTGGGCACTCAAGTGGGGATTTGATGGCATTTGCTACTACGGCGTCAAGGCCAGGTGAAGGAGAAAGGCTGGCAAGGATCCGTTAGGCTGGACCTAGCACACCAGCTGTCACGGCGGGGTAGTACCAGTTCCGAGCCCAGGTGCCTCTGGTGTATGGCGTGATTGGTGCAGCTCGTGGCAGTGGTACGCCCTAGTTTTCCTTCCAGTGCATGGGAAGAAGGGAACTTGCAATGAGAGAGCGCTTTGGAAAGGTGCTTGGGATGCCAGGGAGCCCCTCTGCCCTGCAGCGAAGGCAGCTAGTGAGCTAGGAGCCCCCAAATGGCCCCAAATCCTGTCTCACCTCCTCCCGTGGCCGTGGGTTTCTTGGGGAGCCTGTACCCCTGTTTCCTCACTTGCAAAACACAGCCCTCAGTAACAGGAGGGCTGAGCAGGAGCCCTGGGGAGAGCTGGACTGTTTACATGGGGACAGTGGTACTAAAATAGCTGATTTCTTTCCACCAAAGATGTCCTAGTGACAAGTTAATTATCATTTGAGACACGCTGGGTGCTGAATTCGTACTCTTCAGCAGGTGAGATGCTACAAGTGCTTGTACAAGCGTTGACAGACACTCGGGGCGGTGACAGCCACCTTGGTGATGTTCCTGGCCACACGGTAAACCAGAGCCACCATCTACTTGATGGTGACAGAATCTGGTGCAAAACAGCTCTATTAACAGCAGGGTAGTGCTAATTGATAATCTGGTCTAGGATCCTGTGTGTCTTAGTTCTCTGGTTCCTCTTTCCGGTCAGTATTGCGTGGTCCTGCTCTCTTTTTACTGTTGGTGGCCTGTGGAAAGCCCAGACAAACAGGGATAAGGGAAGTCAGAAGCGCCAAGGAGGATCTCATCTTCAGTTGATTGTCCAGCTCCTGGTGGTGGAAACAGCTCTTCTGACAGCAGCTGAGGCCAGGACAGTCTCCGTGGGTTAGCTCTACTCTCAAAATAAAGAAATAAGCCTGCTGGACCTGGCCTTGGAGGGAGCTTGTTCTTCCCTCATTGACGTTACCAGCGTACTTGTTGGGAAGTTGATGAATCTGAAATGAGTTTCAAGGAAAGAGGTGGACACTCCACGTCATGGCCTCTAAATCCATGCTGGGTCCCCTTCTCGGAGGCAGGACTGTAGGTGCTTCAGCTCAGGAAGGGCAGCTGGATGGTATATATGGGCCTGGGGCATATGCAGAGATCGGCCCAGGTAATTGAACAGTCCCTCAGCCTTAAAACCTGCGAAGTGGACAACTACAACGGCTGGACGTGGTTTGGGGGTGAGTCTGGCTCTTGCAGGCTCCGGCAGCGCTGTAGCCGCTGCGGTGG